TGGTAACTGATTCCCAAAAAAATGGTGTTTATTTCTAAGTTTAAATTCAATTTACTGATATAGTTTTATTTCTAAATTCAATTTTATTTTAGGGTTAACTTAATTTTATTCTAAATTCAATTTATTAAAAAGTTTTACTTCAGAGTTATTTCAAGAGAACAAGTCTGAAGTCATTTTTCAGAGTTAGTTCACCCGAACTCTGAAGTTTGCTTTTTCAGACATAGCTCACCCGAACTCTGGAGTCTGAACTTTGAAGTCTTTTTTTTAGACTTAGAAAAATAAGTTTGAAGTCTTCCTTTTTAGACTTAGAAGTCTGAACTCTGAAGTCTTCTACAATTCTGAAGAGTATAAGTCTGTAGAGTTATTCTTCAGAGTTAGCTCACCCGAACTCTGTAGTCTTCTCTTCCAAACAGAGCACCATGCAGAGCCTCTGGCTTGCCTATACAGAGCTCTGAAGTCTGAAGAGTTTTACTTCAAAGTAATTTCAAAAGTACAAGTCTTGTAATAAACTTATCTAGGCTTTGAAGCTAAGTCTTTAAGACTTAGACTTAGTCTTGTAAACCAGAGCCCCTCTGGTTGGTCTGGCTTTTGGATGGCTTTGCTTCTTGTTGTTTATTTGAACCTTAGAAAAATATTCCAATCCATCATAAAGGAACCAGAGGGGCTCTGGTTGATCTTTATGTTTAACCAGAGGGTCTCTGGTTGTAATTGGAACTCAAATTCTTTAAGTATTTAACATAATTTTGACCAAGAGGCTCTAGATAGACGAACCATAGGCTTTGGTTGACCATAAGGGATCTAGTTGACTACAAGGGCTTTGATTGGCCTTGCTTTTAGTTGGTGTGTCCACAGGGGCTCTGGTCCTTAAGGACAGAGGAGCTCTGGTTGGTCTTGCTCTGTATGATGCAAACTTCACCACAAGGTCTTTTTCAAAGATATTGGGTATTTGAATAACTCTGAACTCAAGGTCTTAAGACTTTGTCTTCATATTTGACACAAACGTTCTTCTAAGTTTAAATTCAACTTACTAATATAGTTTCATTTCTAAATTCAAATTTATTCTAGGGTTAACTTCATTTTAACTAATTATTGATATAGTTTCATTTCTAACTTCAAGTCTAAATAGTCATTTCTTCAGAGTTATTTCAAATAGTACAACTCTGAAGTCATTCTTCAGAGTTCTACTTGAGAGTTATTTCAAGACTACAAGTCTGAATTCATTCTTTAGAGTTATTTCAAGAGTATAAGTCTGAAGAGTCATTCTAAAGAATTAGCTCACCCGAACTCTGAAGTCTGTTTTTTCAGACTTAGCTCACCCGAACTCTGGAGTCTGAACTCTGAAGTCTGAACTCTGAACTCTGAAGTGTTGTTTTAGACTTAGAAAAAGAAGTCTGAAGTCTTTTTTTTCAGACTTAGAAGTCTGAACTCTGAAGTCTTCTACAAGTTTGAAGAGTCATTCCTCAAAGTTAGCTCACCCGAATTTTGAAGTTTTTTTTCCCAGACTTATCTCACCCGAACTCTGAAGTCTGAACTCTAAAGTTTTTTTTTCAGACTTAGAAGTCTGAACTCTGATTTAGAGGGATTGATTTTATATTTCAGAGTTATTTCAAGAGTACAAGTATGAAGAATCATTTTTCAGAGTTTTACTTCAGAGTTATTTCCAGAGTACAAGTCTAAAGAGTCATTCTTCAGAGTTAGCTCACCAGAACTCTGAACTTTTCTTTTCCAGACGGAGCACATGCAGAGACTCTGCATAGTACATGCAGAGCTTCTGCTTGCCTATACAGAGCTCTGAAGTCTGAAGAGTTTACTTCAGAGTTATTTCAAGAGTACAAGTTTGAAGTCATTTTTCAAAGTTATTTTAAGAGTACAAGTCTGAAGAGTCATTCTAAATTTACTTCTAAGTTTAAATCTAATTTATTGATATAGTTTCACTTCTAAATTTAATTTTGTTCTAGGGTTAACTTCATTTTAACTAATTATCGATATAGTTTCATTTCTAAATTCAAGTCTAAGAGTCATTTTTCAGAGTTATACTTCAGAATTATTTCAGGAGTACAAGTCTGAAGTAGCATCGTACTTTCGATGATCATTCATATCTTTAAGATAAGTTATTGACATGATTTAATTATTAATTACCCCGTGTATTACACGGGATCGAACCTAGTATATATATACACTATATTATAAAACATTTGACAAAAACTCTTAAAAACACTTTTTATGTGTAAAATACTGTTTATTAATGCATATTACTTAAAACTCAAAATTACAAGTATATTGTGCGTAAGTACAACTTATTAAAGCTCCATATCTGAATTCATGTAACTAATTGCAGATAAATATAATCAAATACATGATAAACATCTCATTTTAAATATAAAAAA